GCATGACGAGACACACATTCAGCATGTAATGCTGTTTGAATACAAGAAGGGAAACAACGCCTCTGTAGCCACAAAGAATATCAAAGAAGTTTATGTAAATGTTTAAATGTTCGAAAGTGTCAACGATAGTTCAGCAAATTTCGTTCAGGTGACTTTAACCTTAAAAAGTGTGATAGCAAGGGCTGGCGTGTAGGATTTGATATAGATGCTCTGAAGACGCGTGTTGAGTCTAACCCAAGGCAACACACTCGTGAAATGGCCCTGAAATTCATGTCTCTCATGAAACAATATATAAACATCTAAGGAATTGGGAAAACTCCATAAAGAAGGTGTTTGGGTGCGTCACGAACTCTCTGATGATCATCGATTCCAACGTGTGAACGTTGCTTCGTCTCTTCTGGCGCGTAATGCGCGTGAACCATGAAAAACGTGAAAAATGGATTCTCTATGCGAATATTAAACGCCAAAAACAAAGGCCCAGTCCTAGACAAAAACCACTTCCAACCCCATAACCTGAACTCCATCTGCAGAAAGTGATGCTTTGTATTTGGTGGGACATCAAAGGAGAAATTCATTTCGAACTCCTCAATCCACAGCGAACTGTCAATGCAGAGATCTATAGTCAGCGACTGGAAAGTTTATATCAAGCCCTTCCTTAGAAACGCCCTTCAATCGGAAAGGTGTTCTTCTCTACGACAATGCACGTCCACATGCGGCACGTTTGACGCAACACAAGATTATTGAGTTGGGTTGGGAAGTTCTCCCCCCACCCACCATATTCTCCAGATATGGCACCATCAGATTACCATCTTTTTCGTTCGCTGCAACACCATTTTAATGGGGAAATGTATGCAAATGTGGAAGATGTTAAAGAGAACATCGACATGTTTTTTTTTGCTTCAACGTCAAGCATTAACACCTGACTGTAAGATGGAAAAGCATCATCGATGAGAATAGAGATTATTTCATTTAATAAATGATTTGTTTTGATATATAAGTTATTCGGGTTTTTTTCATCTAAAAAAAAAAGCGACATTAATTTCTTGACGATCTAATAACTATCCAGTAATTGTCTATTGTTTAAATACTAAAGCTCCCACATGGTTTCCCCCAGAGATCGCAAGGCCGCTTTTTTTTAGAAGACAATTGGTCAAAAAATAGCTTATTTTTTTCATAAACTTTGTAGGTCTGGACACAGAATATTATAGGTCACATAATTACAAGATGGATTTTTATTCAACTACATTTCAGGAAGAAAAATTGTTTACACCTAAAAATTTACTTTTAAACCTTAATATTTTAGTCAAATATGTAAGCCTCCAGTGGCTCAGAAGTAAGCCTTTAGGCTTACGACGCTAAATTTCGGATTTCAATACCCGTGGTGGTCACAGCACAGATAGTCAGTCGGTCCATTGTGTAGCTTTGTGCTGAAAACAACCAAACCAAATGTGTTGTTAACATTTGGTATTAGTAAACTACGTTAAATCTTTACCATAGCTCTAGTAATTTGTATGAATATAGTTGATTTAATTAAGGTTAAATATGTTTAAATGGGGAAAATAACAAAACATTTCGAGAATAAAACTCTTTTACCTATACCTCTTGATATATATTATATGACCATTTAATTGACTATATGCTTTTCTGTTTTATCTTGTTTATTACTGAATAAAATATCAGAACTCAAATTTTTAAACATCTTTTGTATTTACAGAAATAGCATTATAAAATGTTTATAAAAAAACACGGTTTTAGAAATTCCCATTTATTTATAAACAACAGTTAAATCAATAATTATTATGTAAAAATAGTACATCTTGCTCCAGTGTTTGTTAAAATCGAGATTAAAGGTCTTACATTTACGTATAGCACAATGGGTGGGTTAAATATTTAAAACTGTTCACTAAAGAGGTCACATGTCGTTTTAATTCAAAACCTTATAGCTCGCAGATCGTTAAAAACACGCCCATGTCAGATGTTTTTGAAACCTTGTGAGATCGAAAAGTCGCTTTTAAAATGCCATAGGCTGCATATTCGCCAAAAACCACGTGGGAGCTTCAATATTGTTATCTATTTTCCTCCAAAATTTAGAAAATCTGAGACATCACGTCAGGGCACTTCTAGAGTCACACATCATCATCATTATTATAACCTGCCAAATTCCCTCTAGCAACAATCTAAAACACCTAAATAAAAATATGAAAACCGTAGCCTATTACAGTTTGGTTTCTCATTGGCGAAAAAGTTTGTTTAGATTATTTTTTTTTCCTGTAGAAATATATTTATTTTAAAAGAAATACTTGTGTAACTAGCCAAAAACAGGATATTTCTATTGAATCTGAAGTGACAGAATAAAACAGATCTGCCAATTCTTACAACACGCAAAAGCGTTTATAGCTTTTGCTACGTAGTAAAAATCGTTGTTTTAAACAACGCTAACAGGTTATAAGAAGGCTCTGTAATGAAACAGGAACTCTGTAAACGAAATAAATGTTGTAATTTTATTTTTTTATGATTCTGCTTCTCTTTCAGAATGAATAGAGTACGATCTTGATATTTTTATTTTTCGTAATAAATACGTAGGAAATTATTACATTGATTTTTGTGAAATTAAGTACGAAAGTTTCGTACATCTAAACGATTGAAAATACCAACGACATATATTAATCTGTGGTTATAACCTAGGATAACCTGGAGTGTGGGGAGGTTCTGAGTGATCGAGCATCCTACCTGAAATATTACATGACAAGAAAATCGTAAGCAACTTATTCTCTGACATTCGGCAAAAAATTGCCATTTCTGAGCACGATTTACCTATTAAGGTTGTGTGATGACGTCAAAAAGTCATGTGGTCTATAGTTTAGCCGCCATATTGTCTTAGGTGAAAATGAGAGACTTATCTTCCAATATCGTGTTATCTGATGTTGTAAATCATTTCAGCGATGCTTATAAAAACAATATATCGAGAAATTGAACAGTCGTACAGTTTCAGATCCGTATCTCTTGCTAATGGCGATGCTTATGTCATTGATAGTATGTAAAACTATACCGAATCTTTTATTGATAGGATTTGCTGTTGATTGATGTTTCTTCTTGGTTTTAAAGGGCTAAGAAGTACACAGGTTATAAACTGGTTCAAATCCGAACTCCCCTTTCCTTTAAATCCTGGATCCACCCCTGATAACCTTAAATAGTTCGTTTTTGTTATGTCTATAAATATAAGTACAAATTTCACTAATGATTTCTTTCCCTATCTATAATTACTTTTTGAAATCTGAAATTCGCCTTTAGTTTAGTACGCTCTTCATACTTGCGATAAAGGTTATATTGACAAAAAAAAACGTTTTAGTATTGCGTAAGATAAAAATTTAAATGCAACTTAATTATTAAGTATGATTATCTTCATGAGCGCAATTATGAAAAGCAAAATACAAAATTATGACCTAGCTACTGTCATCATAGTATCTAGAACAAACACAGCATAATTAGTAAGTATGATTATCTTCATGAGCGTAATTATGAAAAACAAAATACAAAATTATGACCTAGCTACTGTCATCATAGTATTCAGAACAAATCAAAATTAAATATTACTAACTCTTTGGTTCTCATAGTATTTATCCAAGTCTTCAAGAGGTATTGCTGACAATTCAGTCGGAAAATCCCTTTCAAGAGGTTTTGGAAGGGGCATTCCACCCTCAAGGTTTTTTTCAGGTTTTCTCTCTGCTTCTTCTCCTCCTCCTCCCTGTGTTTCCTTCTCGCCGCCTTCTCCAGTCGCAGCATCTTCTAACTCCTTTTCGGCAAGCTCTTTTTTCCGCGCCGCTTCCTCAGCAATCCGGGCCTCGATGGCTGCCAAGGATTCTTTGGTAAACGGACGGAATAAGGGCAACTCCTCCAGGTCTGACTGGTCCTCGGATGACCCCGTGGACACGGGCATGGCTACAGCCAGTCACGAATGATACTTCTCTGCGTGAGGCACAGACAGCTCCTCAGAGAGAATGAAAAGAACGAGACAGCCTGTGTACAAAATCAAAAACTTAGAAATAAAGTTTTCAGAAAAATAACAAATTTTGTATTAATTTATTCTTTACGTTATTTTTAGAAATTATAATACTTTATTTGGCAAATGTTTTTTCATACTATGTGTTATGAAAAGATTTTAACAGTTGTCACTGTTTAACTTTATATGTTGATATGCTGCTATAAATCCGGTTTTGAAGATGTTTACTTTCACATATTTCCTTGTTCTTTTTAACTGTCGTAAAGGCATTCCTTTTGATGATAGGATTCAGGTTTTGGGTTTTGTTTTCCAATGCCATGTAATAATGAGATTAACCTGTGTTACATCTATTTTGAAAACGTTATATATTATTTAAATATTCTTAAAATATAAATGTGATCCATTATCAAATTTGATATTAACACATTGCTGAGGTGCAATGGAATATATGCAATAGTTTTTGTGAGCACTCGTTTTGTTTTTGTTTTTCCCAACACATTTAAACCTATTTTTATAATGAGAAGTATTATGCTGTTTTTGTTCATTTTTGGCTGGTTGTCGTACTTGTCAGATAAATATATATTTATAGGTTTGAATTTCGCATGTCTAACTTGATAAAGCAGCTTATATGACACAAGCTAAACAACAAGTCGAGTATCCATAGGTTTCGGGCATTATTATCACTTAATTAAGAGCCATTGGTCAGGAGAAGGACAACTAGTCAACAGTATTCGCCACCTAATGATTAGCTGGGTTGTCTGTTACATTTATAATATTGCCAGATGTAAGTGCGAGCGTTTTCAGCAGCATATCGCCACTCGAACCCTGGACCTTTTTTTTGCCAGACACGATAAACAATAAGCCACGAGCACATAAAAACCAAGTGGTAAGAATAGTCATATTAACATACAATAACGCTAACTACCATCATACACGACGACAGTTTCTCGTGCAGGAAAAAAAAAAAGAGCTCACGCCTTTTAGAGAATAAAACGCTTGAATAAAACACTCAGTCGCATAATATTTAAAAATAAGTTCACCAAAATAATGAATTTAATCACAATTAATGAATTTAATGAAACAGAATAATACTCCGAGGTTGAAAATAAATTTAACATATCATCACCATAAAAGTTCCACCTAGTGCGCAATAACCGTCGAATATGTTAAGAAATATGGTATCAAACTATCGAGTCAAGTTTAATGTTATGGCTAGAACGTCAGAAACTTTACCAAAAAGAGAAAGACTAAGATAAATATACACACAGTAAAAGTACAAGGACCTTGGAACACCCACTTTGGGATTGGGATCTGAACAGGTTGTCAACATTGTTAGAGTTAATTAACAACAAACTGATTGTAAGAGTTGTTTTGACTAATATTTTGCGAAGGAACTCATTTCCAGTGCCTAACAATTGATAAAATATTGTAAGGATACATGGGTTAGGTTTGAAGCCTCCCAATGGCACAGTGGTAAGTCTGTGGACTTATAACACTAGAAATCAGGTTTCGATACCCGCATACGCCCCCCCCCCCAGTGCCACGGCGGTATGTCTACGTACTTACAACGCTAGAAACCAGGTTTTGATAACCGTGGTGGGCAGAGCACAGGTAGCCCATTGCGTAGCTTTGTGCTTAAATTCTAACAAACAAACAAACATTGATACACAAATTAGACTATTAATTCACTTTGTACTTGAATACATACACATATATATATACGTTATTGCATTTTTTGCTTCAACAATGAAATATAATAATACACTGAAGTTCTTAACATTAAACAACTTGATTTTCTTACTAATGCTTGATTCATTGGGTTAACTGAGTGTCTTATATGTTAGCTAAGTTAAATTGTTGTTTTAGCGCAAAGCTACACAATGGGCTCTCTGCGCTTTGTCCTCCTCGGGAAATCGAACCCCGGATTTTAACATTTTAAGTTCGTAAAGTTCCGAAACGCGTGTGTGCGCGCGCGCACACACACACACACACACATATATATTTCCTGCAACAATTTGTTCTATTTTTCCTTTCCACTTTTAAAATTATCTAAAATCACTTGATTTTTAAGTGCCGGTTTCACAGATTTCTTTGCTTTTCAGCTCTATTTCTTTACATTCTGCTTCTCTCATGTTCAATAAATCAGCATTCAGTCGTGCTGATTCAACATCCTCTGTTGCCTGAAAATCTGTTATACTTTAAAGGTATTGAATAATACAAATATTCTATATTTAAATGCATCAAAACATAAAAAGGTTATCATTGTTTTTTGTTTTTTTATTATGAATGTGGCGTGAACGTAAACATAATAAGATACTCTTATTTTTACCCAAATGTCTTCTGATACTAGGCATACATGCAGCGGTTTTATATATTCTAAATCTTACATCGGTAATGGAAACAACACTTTTAGATTTGGGACACACTTTAATTGAATTATGGCTTTTGTTTTTGGTTTTAGAGCAAAGCCACATTGACCTATCTTCTGTGTCCACCGCTGGGAATCGAGCGTCCGTAAGCTAACCTTTGTCCGATCGGGGGACTGAATTATGGCAGTAATCATATACTGCAGCGACACTAAATGTACTATTACACCTCTTCACTAACAAAGATGTTTTGATTAATTGGAATTATGTATGTTATACCAGTAATAGCGTTCAAGTCTGAGGTTTCTTCTCACTGGATGTTAAACAGTATGATAATATATTATTCTGCTTCCAGATAGTAATGAGCATATTAGCTGGTACCTTTTCTTCACTAGTAACTTGCATCTTTTTGTTCTGATGCACGTGAGTGGGTTATTCAGAAAATCAAGCTTTGCTTTGATTCATAGGAAATTATTGTAAATTCTGTGAATCTGTCTCTCCTCAAGTAATACTAGGAAATGTATATCCTGATACTCTATTCCTTCATTTTAGAAACAAGTGAACGTGTTATTTGATACACTAAATCTTCTTGTTTCTGAGCAAAGTGAATGTGTTATTCTAATACTACGCTCCTTTCTCTGTGAAAGAAGTGAACGTGCTATTCTAATAGTCTATCTCTTCCTGCCTGCTGATTCTATTTTATTTTTTAACTATATCTCGTCCTTTCTGACAGAAGTGAACGTGCTATTCTAATAGTTTTTCTCTTCCTGTCTGCTGGTTGTATTTTGTGATGTTACTATATCTCTTCTTTTCTGACAGAAGTGAGCGTGCTATTCTAATAGTCTTTCTCTTCCTGTCTGCTGGTTGTATTTTGTGATGTTACTATATCTCTTCCTTTCTGACAGAAGTGAGCGTGCTATTCTAATAGTCTTTCTCTTCCTGTCTGCTGGTTGTATTTTATTTTTGTACTATATCTCTTCCTTTCTGACAGAAGTGAGCGTGCTATTCTAATAGTCTTTCTCTTCCTGTCTGCTGGTTGTGTTTAATTTTTTTACTATATCTCTTCATGCCTGTTGGTTGTATTTTATGTTGTTACTATATCTCTTCCTTTCTGACAGAAGTGAGCGTGCTATTCTAATAGTCTTTCTCTTCCTGTCTGCTGGTTGTGTTTTATGTTGTTACTATATCTCTTCCTTTCTGATAATGTGAACGTATTACTATAATAACCAATACATCTCATTCTGACACTCCATGCTTTATGACTAATACAAAAAGTCTATATTCTCACAATCTTTTTCTTCTTGTGTGACGTATCGACGAAGTGTGTCTGCAACTTAACTCTACTTTGTTAATAAAGTTAGCATCAATAAAATAATCTCCAAATACAAAGACTTTTAGAAATCTTTTATGTGCTCTTGATTTTTCCATTAATAGTTTGATATATAAATACGTATGTGTCGTCTGCTGCATCATAATTTCTTTCTCGAAACGATATTCTTTTCTTTTCTAGTCTCAACTAAATCTCATTATTACATCTTCACATTACAATTTGTCAAATATCACAAATTAGAATAAAATTACCATATACTCCCATTCTGCCCGACCGCCAATTCTAGTATTTCAATATAGTTTTGTTTCTTTACAAATAATCCATATCTGACACAGATTAAGATTGAAATATAATGGTACAGGTTTTAATCTGTGAAATGAATCTATTATAATATATTGTTGTTATTCCTAGCAAGTTTCTTTATGTCTCCCGGTGGGTCAGCGATAAGTCTACGGAGTTACAACGCTAAAATCCGGGGTTATATTCCCTGCGGCAAACAGAGCAGATAGCCCAGTGTGTCTTTGCTCTAACACAAACAAATAAACAATTTTCTTTTAAGTCTACAATGTTGATCTATACATATTACATACAAAAGTCGTAATAGAAAACTTGATATAAAAAAAATCGTTTTCTCAAATAAATTAAACATGTGTTTATGGTAAAATGACAAATGTTTGTAAAATTCATTGGTTGTGGTTTATTAAAAAGACACCGACTGTTGTCACATGTGTTCGAAATCTACTCAAAAACCAAAGTATCTCACTGGGGTAGCATAACAATATCGTATTGTAGATACTTTTTAGTTAATCCGTACATAACTTTACATTCAAATATAAATCCAATATTTTTGTGTGATTTATATGTTACCATTGTATTCCTATTCAGATAACTTAAACCTAGTTTGTTTTTGTTTTTTTCACAATTAACCTTAAGCCACGACTTTCAACTAATCACTGCCCCACACACATACAAAACATTAACCTTAAGCCACGATTTTCAACTAATCACTGCCACACGCACACACATACAAAACATTAACCTTAAGCCACGATTTTCAACTAATCACTGCCACACACAATATACAAAACATTAACCTTAAATCTTATTTAAAAAATTAGTACAGAGTTTAGAGTGAAATAAACAATGGGAAACAAAGTATATATATCATCTTTCTTTCTTCAACTTTTAGAGTGGCATTTTAAACGACTGTTGTCATGGTAACTGTTTGCATTGCTCACGACCTCAATAACACAGAGTCGTATTGAACAGGCAGTTGCAAGCAGAATCACAGAACAATCAGTCGAATCTTAAGTACAAGCAA